AAATTTCTGGGAAATTTGGAATCTGAGAAGATGGGAAGGGACGGAAAAACGTACTAATAGGGTCAAAAACATTGTGAGAATGCTTCGAAAAAGAAGAAAAAAGAATTTGCCACGGAGGGGAATCGAACCAGTGGGTGTTTTTTTAGTGTGGGAGTGCGAAACCCACTAAGCCATTTGTGCAAAATTTTGAAAAAGTGGGATTTTCATGGTTTTCAATGGGTTTTTGCGGTTTTTAGAGGTCTGGAACTCGATTTTGACTGTATAATTGTGCTAAAAATAATTTTCAGCTGGTTTTCAGCCAATTTGAAAATTTTCAATTTTTAGATTTTTATGGAAAATTTAAGATTTTCAGATTTTCAGGTATGTAAAAATGTCGGAGACATTGAAAATGGGCCTTTTACAAAAATAAAAAAAGATTGTCACCGAGTGGAACTGAACTCGGATCTTGAGATTGGAGTCAAAAATCCACTGAGCCATTTGTACAAAATTTGGAAAAAGATGGAATTTCATGATCTTAAATGGGTTTTTGAGGTATTAAGAGGTCTAGAATTAGATTTTGACACTTTCTGTCTGCTAAAAATGAGTTTCAGCCAGTTTCAACCAATTTTGAGAATCCCCAAAGTTTCAATTTTTCAATTTTCTGGCTCATTTTTCACCGATTTTTCCCCCAATGTTTCAGGACTACCGGGGTCCATGGAAAGTGGATTGTCTAAAAAATCAAAAATAGGGGGTCCTTGTCAAAATTGAGGGGAGGTGGGAAATAAAGTGGGCTTCCCATTATTTATGCATGCATATATATCTAAAACGAAGGGTCAGAAAGGGACGGGTGGGATGAAAAATGTGCCAAATTTGGAATCGAAAGGTTCCAATATTGATGAGCAATCTGGGAAAAACTGAATTTTGTCAAAAAAAAATTGAAATTTTGGAAAAAAGTACCCCTCCCTCCCCCCCACTCCCATTGGTTTGGCAAAATTTAAAGTTCAAACTTTTGACAATCCATATCTTCCTTAATTTTTGGATTAGATTTATGATTATTATACCAAAATAAGGGATAAGATACGCTTAACAGTTGTACAATTGACAAATTTTAAAGCCTTTAAAGTCGGCCCAACTGGCGCCGCCTACCGCCCCCCCCCCCCCGCCGTTGGGGGTCGGCTAACTTTAAAGGCGCACATCTCCTAAACTACTGTAGTTATACAAAAATTGTTAATTGCAAAATTGTGTGAAATTTTATTTTGAGCAATATTTCAATTGACAATTTTTAACTGTTTTTTTTAGTTTTTGGGTTATGCGCTTTTAAAGAAAGGGCGCCCCTCCCCTCGTCCTCTCCCTCGCTGTTAGAGCGCGCGTTAACTTTAAAGACGCATAACTCAAAAACTACTGTAGCTAGAAACACTTCGTAAACTACAAAAAAATGTAAAATTTTATGATCTACATTTTTCTAGTTTTTTTTTTTCTGATAACTACAGTAGTTCTTGAGATATGCGCCTTTAGAGTACCATAGACCTCAGAGCATTCCAAAAAGCGTTACATTTTCAATTGTTTTTCGGCACACACTTGTCCTTGTACCATTGGTTGTCGGTTAAATGAGGATTACGGTCTTCTTCCCTTTTTCTTCTTATTGAAAAGAAGAAAAAGAAGACGGCACAACACTTGACCGTCAAGACACAAAACAGTAGGAGAGGGGACTGTCTGCTTGCGGCAAATCTTGGCTGGGAAGAGGCACCTGTCACATGGACCCCTAGGAAATGATGGATTAGAAACATTTCTTCTAAGAATTCCGACATGAATAAATAGGATTTATGGGGTGCAGAGAGTTTCAAGTAGATTGGGTTTCCACCTCAATTTAAGACCTAAATATGTTTGACCTCTGGGGGGTACATTTTTTGATAGGAACTTTCACTTCTTTTTGAATTTATACGGAAGTTACGTTTTCCAAACTGGATTTTAACAAAGCATAAATTAAAAAATCGAGTTCAGGACCCTTTAAAACCCTGAAAACCAATTAAAAACCGTGAAAGTTCCAATTTTTCGGAAATATGCAAATGTGGCCTAGTGGGATTTTTGACAACCAAACTTGGAAAATCACTACCCGGGTTCAATACCTCTTAGTGGAGAACTTTTTTTTCCGTTTTTTTGGAGCATTTTTAGGAGCATTTTAGGATGTTTTGGACATTATTTGCATGTTTTTAGGGCTCATATTTTGGAAAATTGACTTTTTGCCATTTTTTAGAATTTTTTTTTTAATTTTGAAGTTTCAAAATCAGAATTTCCAAGCAAGATTCTTATGTCAATTCTACTACTCAACTACTAGCCTATATAACAATGCTCCACGAGGAGCATTGCTCATCCTTAAATGGGTTGTCCCCACTTGACAACAATTTGCCAATTAGGGGGTAAAAGAAGAAGAAGAGGCAAAAGTTTCGGAAAATCGAGTGAAGAGAAGCCATCAAAACTTAGACAGCAATAGAAAAGGGAAGTTCAATGAACTTTCAAGGGGTTGTTCACAAAGTTTAATGGCTTAATCGGAAAGAGAAATCTCGAGAAGTTTGGGGGTTAAGAAGGTGTATCCATTTTTTGAAGTGGGGTTAATTGGTTTGTGTAATTTAGCATTGAGACAAAATGTGAAATCACAAAAATTTGACAACGAAGATTTGGAAATTCAGACAAAAAAAAAACTCAAACAACAGTTTTTGTGCAGCTACCGTAGTTTTTGAGTTATGCGTCTTTAAAGTTGGCGCGCCTCCAACCAGGCTCTTGGCGTTAAAGTGTGTTAACTTTAAAGACGCGTTACTTGAAAACTACAAAAGCTATTAAAAATTAGTAAACTAAATACTTGCTCAGCATAAAATTTCACACATTTCTGTAATATTTAATTTTTGATAGCTACCGTAGTTTTAGAACTATGAGCCTTTAAAGTTGTTGCACCCCTTTGTCTGGCACGTGACGGACGGAACGGTGACGCGTCAATTTTAAAGGCGCATAGCTCAAAAACTAAGAAAGTCATTAAAAATTGGTAAACTAGATAATTGCTCAGCATAAAATTCACACATTTTTGTATTCGCAAGTTTCTGATAGCTACCGTAGTTTTAGAGCTATGCGCCTTTAAATTTGGCGCGCCACACTTCCGCCTGGCGCGCGCCAAGCAAGGGAGCGCGACAACTTTGAAGGCGTATAACTCATTAACTACAAAAGCTATTGAAAATTGGTAAACTACCGTAGTTAAACTACCGTAGTACTTACACGGCGTTTGGCGTAGTGGTGTGTCAACTCTAAAGGCGCATAACTCAAAAACCACAATAGCTATTTAGAAATTGTGAATTGCAAAAATGCATACTCGCGGACGAGCCCAAAGCGGGCCGTGGAGGGCCGGTTTTTTCGGCCCGTTTGGTCTGTAACTTTGTTCACAAACATGATACAGTGTCCCAAAAAGTATCATTTTGTAGTGCTCGTCGAGTTCTATCATATCTAATTTAGTAAGTCAAAAAACATTGATGCTAAAAGAAACTATGACAGGGCCCGCCACGGCCCGCTTTGGGCCCGTTCGAAAGTATGCAAAAATGTAAAGCGTATTTTTCTCTACATTTTGGTATAAGTTTCGTCAATTTTTTTCCCATCTGATGCATCCCATACCGCCAACCACTTGATCTACTGCTTCCTGATCCCCTATTACAAAAAAAGTTGTTTCGTCATCCACCTCCCGGAATTTCTTTCCCGGGAAAAATCCGGATCTCCAGATTGAGAGACAGAGGTGTGATATGATTGGTTGTTTTTATTGGAATTTGATCTAGTTCTGCGTCTACTCCATCCCCATACTTTCTCGCCGGCGATCGGCCAAACAGACAAAAAGTGACAGCTCTCTCGGGCTCACTAGGCTGCCCGCGATCGACAAAAAATGACATGATTGGGGTGTGTGTGTATAAAAGAGACGAGCCGTGTGAAAATGGACATGTCATTTTTCGATTGAGCACATACTCATTTCTTGGATCTTGATCATCTAATCACCATGAGATTGAGGTAGGGTGTTTTTTGTCAAATCTTGAAATAGGCGTATCTTCCCCCAATTTGAGTTTTGAAATATGATTTTTTTTTACCAAATTGTAGGAAAAAAGTCGTTTTATATTTTTGTAATACACAGTTTTTCGATAACTATCGTGGTATTTGAGTTTTGGGCACTTAAATTTGACTCACCTGGCGCCCCCTTCCTAGCCGCCGCCGCTGGTGAGGTCGGCTAACTTTAAAGGCGCGTATCTCAAAAATTTCGGTAGCTATCAAAAATTTGTAAATTATAAAAATGAGTAGAATTTTGAGTTGAGCAATATACTAGTTTTCAAATTTTTGACAACTGTTCTAGTTTTTGAGTTACGCGCCTTTAAAGATAGCGCACCCCGATCGCAGTCTTCCTCACGGTCATGGGTGGAGGATGTGAAATCTTTAAAGGTGCATAACTCAAAGTTGAAAATAGCCAGAAATATTTTGACAGTTACAAAATTGCTCAGCATAAGATTTTACACACTTTTGCAGTTTCAAGATTTTTGTTAGCTACAGTAGTTCTTGAGCTATGCACCTTGAAAATTGAGCGTGATTACATCTTCCCTCCTGTAGGGCGCGCTTACTTCATACTGTAGCTATCGAAAACTTGTAAATTACAAAAATGTAGAAAATATTATGCTGAACAATATTTTAGTTGACACATTTTTAGTAATTCTTTTAGTTTTTGAGATATAATGATTTGAAATTGATTGGTCAAAATTCAGGGGTTTAGGATCCTTTGGATCCTCTGTATCCCTTGGATCTTCTGGATCTTTTTCAGAATTTCCCCAATTTTCACAAGTTTTTTTAGAACCAGTAAAGCCCTCGTCACTGTCGCCCTTCTCGGTACCCTCTCCTTCGCTCAAGAGGACCAGGAATCTTCCACAAATGCTCCAGAAGACGCCCAAGATCCTCTAGCTCCACAGAATGACGATGCGACTCTTCTGAAGCCAGTTCTAGCCAAAGATATGCGATCCAGAGGAGCCAGGCGCGGTCCATTCGCTTCATTTTCCGGAAACTATGGATCCTACGGAGGTGGTGGAGGTTACGGTGGAGGAAATGGCGGAGGAGGAGCATTCGGAGGATTCAACGGAGGATACGGTCAAGGTGGATACGGCGGAGGCGGTGGAGACTTCGGAGGACCCATGGGAGGATATGGCGGCGGTTACGGTAATGGTGGAGGCGATGGCGGAGGCGGATACGGTGGATACGGTGGCGGAGGATACGGTGGAATGGGTGGAGGACCTGGAGGATACGGAATGGGTGGATTCGGAGGAGGCGGTGATTATGGAGGATATGGAGGAGGCATGGGCGGAGGAGGCGGTGGATATGGAGGCGGTGGCGATGGAGGATACGGTGGAGGACAAGGAGGATTCGGTGGCGGTGGAATGGGTGGATATGGAGGAGGAATGGGAGGCGGCGGAGGAGGATACGGTGGAATGGGAGGTGGTGGATATGGAGGAGATGGTTATGGACCATCCGGTGGATATGGAGGTAAGTCTGGTTTCATATAGCTTCAAAATTGTTTAGCTAGCTTTAGATAGCGTTAGATACCTTCAGCTAGCTGTTGGATAGCACGGAATACCCAGCTCAACCTAGCTCAACCTAGCTCAACTTAGCTTAAGCTACTTGACAGCGCTATTCTCAAAACCTAAGCTAGCAATTGAAAATTTGTCAACTGCAAAATTAATTATCATTAAATTTATCATTTTTAGACAACTTTTTTAGTTTCATAGTTATGCGCCTTTAAAGTTAGGGTTCCCTCTTCGCAGAGGAAGGAGAGCGCGCTCACTTTAAAAACGCATAAGTCAAAAACTACAGTAGCTATCTGAAATGTCCAAATCAAAAAAACATAGGAAATTTAATTTTACACATTTTTGTAGTTGACTACTTGTTTCTAGCTCTTCCAGTTTTTGAGATATGCTCCCTAAAACCAAATTGCTCATGTTCCTATTTCCAGGTGGCTACGGACCAGGTGGTGGATACGGTATGGGTGGAGGCGGCGGTGGCGGATGTCCAAATGGAGAGTGCCGTGGAAAGAAATAGACAACGTCTTCTGGATTCTTCTAATTTATTGGTTTTTCTTATTTATTTTCTCTTTATTTCCCCAAAATCCTCCAGTTTTTGATTTTTAGTAATAAATTGTTTTTCCGAGAACCTTTTTTTCTGAAAATAGTTTGTTTTCCAGGTGAAAAGTATATATTTTTCAATGGAAATGTCGAAAACAATTTTTGGAACACCTGAAAACGGCCTATGCGCCTTTAAAGTGGGCGCCCTCCCACTGTGGTAGAGCTAACTGCGGCGAAGGAGCGCGCGCTACCTTTAAAGGCACATAACTCAGAAACTACGGTAGTTATACACATTTTTGAACTGCAGAAATATAGGAAATTTAATTTCAAACATTTTTAGTTGTTTACTTTTTTCTAGCTACTCTAGTTTTTTAGGTATGCGCCTTTAAGTTTGGATCGCCCTTTTTTGAGCTATTTTCTCTTTTCTTCCTTGACCTGAACTTCAATTTTCCTTTTTAATTGCCCTGTAATTGACCTCTTTTAATTAAACTTTATACTTTCATGAAATTGAATGGAAAACTGGAACTCTTGGCTGTTTAACCCACTTTGAAGGCGAGAACGCCCTCGCTTCTCTGCCGTTGTGAGTGCGCTAACTTTAAAGGCGCATAACTCAAAAACTAGAAAAGCTAAAACATTCCTGACAATTAATGAATTTCTCAGCATAAAATTTCACATATTTTTTTAGTTTACAACTTTTTGATAGCTACTGTAGTTTTTGAGCTACGCACCTTTAAAGTTAGCGCCCCTTTACCGCCAGAAGAAGGAGGGAGGACGCAGAGAAGCCAGAGCGCTCTCGCTTCTCCGCAACTTTGAAGCTTTACATCTCACGAACCGTTCTAGCTATCAAAAATGTGTAAACTAACAAGTTGTGGGAAATTTCCTTTTACACATTTTTACAGTTGACCTCTTTTTGATAGCTTCCACCATTTTTGAGTTATGCGCCTTTAAATTAACGCACTCTTACCGCGACGAGGAAAGACGCAGAGAAACGAGAAATCTATCGTTTCTCTGCGTCTCTCTTATGATCTTTGATACAATTTAGTTTCTAGGGACTTCCCTCCTTAGCCTTAACCTTTAAAACCATCAGAAACAATATAAAAGATTTGTTTTCTGGGTGAATGAACCGAACTCATAGGTCAACTCCCCAAATGTTTCATCATAATTACATAATGATGTCATTACTTATTTTTCCGGGTCTCCGGACCAAATAAAAGTTCCCCATTTTTCTCCTCTTTTGTTTGCCCTTTTTTCTTTTTTTTTCTCATTTTTCTCGGAAAATTGAGAAATTTTATACGGATGTGACCTCCTGACATTGGCTTTTCTAAATCCGGAATTTTAGTATTTGGGTAAACAAATACGAGAAAATTCAATTTTTCCTCGCCTACACTTTTTACTTTTTGCTTTTTGTGTTGCGTAGTTTTTTTTCTGAAAATCTGAAAATAACTTTTTTTGAACCGAAATTTTACCTTTTCTCTTCTCTCAGAGCGCTTTTCTACCATCAGCTAACTTTAAAAGCTTATATCTCAAAAACTACTGTATCTATCAAAACGCACTGAACTAGTGCAGATCATAAAATTTTACACATTTTTAACGTTTTCAGTTTTTTTTGATAGCTACTGTAGTTTTCGAGATATGCGCCTTCAAAGTTGGATGGCCCCTTTGCCTGGCGCGCGCCGGTCTAAAGAGTGGCGCGCCAACTTCAAAGGCGCATAACTCAGAAACTACGGTAGCTGACCAAAAATTGTTAACTACGAAATATGTCAAATTTTATGCTGAGCAATTTGCACTTTACCGCTTATTGATAATGCTCTTGGTTTTTGAGCTATGCGCCTTTAAAGTTGGCGTGCCCCTTTTGCCTAGCGCCCGCCAGACAGAAGGGTGGCGCGCCAAATTGAAAGGCGCAAAGCTCAAATACTACAGTAGCTAGCAAAATTGCATAAACTACGAAATATGTAAAATTTTATGCTGAGCAATTAAAATGTTATCAATTTTTGATAATTACCAGTTTTTGAGTTATGCGCCTTTAAAGTTAAAGCCCCCCCCCCCTTTTTGCGTGCCACCCGCCGAACGGAAAGGTGGCGCTCCAAATTTAAAGACGCATATCTCAAAAACTACGGTAGGTAGCCAATCTTTGAAAACTACAAAAATGTGTGAAATTTTATGCTGAGCAATTTACTAGTGGACACAATTTTTCTAGCTTCTCTAGTTATTGAAATATGGACCATCCAAAAAAGGATTCCAAACTTTTTTTGAATCGAAAATTTGAAAAACAACTTCAAATCTGGCCTCAGGCGAGGAAGAGCAATGAATATCTAATTTTGGATGGTCTAGACATTTGGAATTTTTTTTTCTCGAATCGTTTCATTTTAAATCTGAGCAATCTGTGAAGAAACGAAAACAAAAAAAAATTTCGAAATATTTTTTTTTGGCTGAAATTGGTTTTCAGACTAAATATCGCAATTTTTGATCTTGAAAATCACATCATTTTTCGCACTTTTTCTTATCAGGACACTTCAAAAATTTGTATATTTCCACTTTTTTTTTTTTGATCTACCAATTTTGGTTCATGGATCTGAAAATCTGGAAAAATACAATTTTGGCTATAAATACTCAGAATTTTCAGTATTTTTTCAGAATTTTCCAGCCAAGTTCTTTCCCCAAAAATTGTGGACACCAAAAATCGTTTTTTACAATTAGTGCAAAATTTTGGTTTTCATGATTGACAGATCACATTTTCCCTGGAGAATCCTTTTGTTATATATTTTTTATCACTTGTTATCACTTCTTTTTTGTTTTTAACACATTTTGAACATCATCATTCATTAATCTTAATCTCCCGGATTTTCTGATGTTTTTGCACATTTTTGAGCCCTTTTTCTCAGTCTATTTTTTGAGACATTAAATGTCACATGATCTGAGAGAAATTTGAAAATTTTGTTGTCGGGAAAGTGTCTTTAAACGCTTCCGTAACAAAAAATGAGTATCAAATCCAATTTCTAGCCCCCGAAAACCCTAAAAACCGTCTGAAAATCATAATTTCCCATTTTGGTCCAAATGGCGCAGTGGGATTTTCGATAGCAGTCTGACGACCCGGGTTCGATTCCACTCGGTGGCAAATCTTTTTTGCTTTGTTTTGCTAATATTTTAAACTATTCTAGAACATTCTGGAGCTGAAATTTCGGATAATCTGAAAATTTCAAAAAAAAAATTTTTCTAAAATTTCAGATTTTTCAAATTCCACAATTTCAGCCTTCGAAATGTTCCAAAATAGTTTAAAAATGTTTTGAAAAGAGGCAAAAAAAGATTTGCCACCGAGAGGAATCGAACTCGGGTCGTCAGATTGCTATGGAAAATCCCACTGCGCCATTTTTACATTTTACGGAAAAACGCTCGAAATTGCTGGAAAAGTTGATTTTCGGGGTTCCTGAGCGCGTTTTATGTGTTTTTGAACTCAAAAACTAGCAATTTTGACTGTGAAAAAGGCAGAACAAATTGTTTTTTGAAATCAAAATTTTGCTTTTCCAGACACAAATATCTCTAATTTCTGATCATTTTCTAAATCTGAAAATCTCAAAAAATCCAATCCCACACAAACAAAAAATTGTTTGTTCCGTTTCATTTTCAGCCAAAAACAATAAATTTTCAGACAAGTTTCACCTCTTTTAATCCCAGAGAACTTTGTTTCTGCTTCGTCATTTTTTAGGAGCATAGACGTTCAAAGATTGCTCAGCGTTAACGGATTTCTTGGGGGATTTTTTGGAATATCCCACTCAGTTCATATAAATAGAGTAGCACAAAAGTTTCAGGAGCAAACATTTCAGATAAAAACATTTTTGGCTGAAAATTTTTCAAAAAAAATTTTCAAAAATTTTCATTTTAGATTTTTTATTTTTGGCTGAAAATGACTAAAAAGTTTTCCCACACGTCATTTCCTATTCGAATTACACAAAATTAGAGATGTCAATAACAGAAAATGTATTTTTTGGACTTTCAGAGACCAAAAAGATTTTTTATACTAAAATTTTCGATTTGGCTGAAAAAAATTAGGAAAAACAAAAAATTTTGTCAAATTTTCGAATTTTCCATGTTTTTAGGACTTTTCAGCATTAGGAACTAGTCTGAAAAAATTGCAAAAAAAATTTGACCGCAGATGGGTTCGAACCCGGGTGTTGAGATTGGTAGAGTTTTGGTGGGAAATCCCACTGCGCCATTTGGACCATTTTTGGAAAAATACCAAAAAATGGGTTTTAAAAGATATTTTAGCGTTTCTGAGCATTTTTTGATTGACTTTGATCAAATTTTGATTAGTTTTCTGAACTATTTCAAACAGAAAATATTTAAAAAATTTTCGAAAAAAATTTTTTAAAGAAAATCTTAATTTTTCATGTTTTTCGGATATTTGAGCATCTGAAATCGCTCTGACAAAAATGCAAAGAAGTTACACCACAGGTGGGTTTGAACCCGGGTGTTGAGATTGGTAGATTTTTGATGGAAAATTCCACTGCTCCATATGGACCATTTAGGAAAAAATGATCAGAGACCGGTTTTGAAGCGATTTTTGGTAGTTTTCAGGCATTTAAAGCAATTTAAAACTTTTTTACACTAGTTTTAAACTATATTGAACAAAAAACCACAAAAAAAACTTTCTTGAAAAATTATTTTTGTGCATTTTTTTTCAAAATTTTCGAAAATTCCAACTTTTCTCATTTTTATGCCAGTAACTTGATAATAATCTATTTTTCATTCAAAAGACCAAACTCCAATAACAGAAAATAGTTAATTAGGCCTCCCACCATCACTTAATTACCCCTTCACTCTTTTTCCGCTCGGCCGCTTCCCAGCCGCCCATCGTCCGTTTTTAGTATTATTCAGACTTTCAAAGAGCGAAAAAAAAGGAAAAGGAGGTCCATATTATCTTATGATCTCCCGCACTTTTTTTTTCTTAGAAAATTATTTTTTTTTCGAAAAAAAGCGAATTTCTATGAAAATTGAAATTTCCCAGTTGTCAAATCCTTAATTTTCAGTTTTTCAGTTTTCAAAGCCTTTTTTTGCAGTTTTTTTCTCTGAAATTTTGGTGTCCCAAATCTGGAAATCAAGAATTTAGGAAATTCTGAATTCTGAATTCTGAGTCATGGAATACTCAGAAAAACTTTTTTTCCAATTAAACTTTTTTTTTTCGGCTCCCAGAGACATAATAAATTTCCAAATTTATTATTCATTGAAACATGTTTTTGGGTTTCCCTAGTTTTTAATTAAAATGGAAAACTTAGAAATTAAAAAATTCCAGATCCTTTTTGATGTACTGCAATATTGCTCAGCATAAAATTGTGTACTGCAATATTGCTCAGCATAAAATTTACAACTTTTTAAAGCTACCATAGTTTTTGAGTTCTTTTTTTTTTAAAGTTGATGCACCTTTCAGTCTGCGCCATGGAGGCGGGGGGCTTGCCAACTTTAAAGGCGCATAACTCAAGAACTACGGTAAATAGCAAAAAGTGGCGATTCAAAAAGTTCTCAGCATAAAATTTTCAAAATGTTTGTTGTTTACAAATTCTTTTTAGCTACCGTAGTTTCTGAGTTATACGCCTTTAAAGTGAGCGCGTCCCGTTGCCTGGGGCGCGCCAGACGGAGGGTGGCGCGACAACTTTAAAGGCGCATAGCTCAAAAACTACAGTAGCTAGCAAAATTTCATAAACTACGAAATATGTAAAATTTTATGCTGAGCAATTTACTAATTGGCAATTGTTTTCTAGCTTTTTCAGTTTTCGAGATATGGACCATCGAAGAAAATTCCAAAAATTAAAAAAAAAGTATTTTTCTAATTTTAGACTCCCCCGGAAGTCTATTTTTCAACTCTGAACTTTTTCCCCAGAATTACGTAACACACAAATTTTCTGTGATTCAGAATATACCCTTTTTGGGGTCATGTGCTTCAGAATTTCTAATTGATTGCTCAGATTTAAAAACTTTCACCTGTCAAAAATTTCGTTAGCCAAAAAAAATTTCCACCCACCCAGAATAATTTTTTCCTCATTCTGACTGAAAATTCTTAGAAATTATTATTTTAAAAGCTGTAATTTTTTTTCGACATGTAGATGTTCGTTTCTAGCTGAGTTTAGCCAGTTTAGCTGATGAGATTAAAATGAGCAATGGGTCTGAAAATCTGAAAATTCTGAAAAAACGGAAAAAAGCGGTCTTGTTTATACTTATTTCAAAGCTCTAAACGTTAAAAACTTACCATTTCAAGAATTTTGGAGTTTGGTCTAAAATTGGCCTATTTTACACTTTTTAGCCTTTTCGGGCCAAAATTCAAAAATTTTTTTAATCCGGTCTCGTTTATACTCATTTTGAAGCTCTAAATTAGCTGAATTCGAAATTTTTCAAATATTTGAGATTGGACTAAAATTGGCCTATTTAGGCCTGTTTTACACTTTTGGGCCTTTTTAAGCTGAATTTCAAAATTCTCTAAACCTAGTCATATTTATAATCATTTTGAAGCTCTAAACTAGCCAAATTTAAAATTTTTTATTTTTTATGAGTTTGGACGAAAACTCACCCATTTCGGCCTCTTTAACACTTTCGGGCCTTTTTGGGCCAAAATTCAAAAATTTTCAAATCTAGTCTTGTTTATACTCATTTTAAAGCACTAAACAAGACAAATCGATTACTTTTAAAATTTTTCAGTTTTAACAAAAATTGGCCTATTTAGGCATATTTTACACTTTTGGGCCTTTTTGAGCCCAAATTCAAAACCCTCGAAATATGGTCTCAGCGGGTTACGGTAGTTTTTTTATCTGTCCGCTCCAATTGTGATCATTGTCTATATAACTTGTGGTTTTCGATTTTTCATTATTTTTCGATTCGGAAAAAAAGAACACCTGGAATAATCGACCATAATGAAAAAATACATAATGAAGAAGCCATTTTTGACTTTTTCAAGGGATTCTGATGACGTGGGGGGCCAAAAAATATGTTCCATAGAAAAAAATGTTTTGGCTGAAATTTTTTTTTGCTGAAAATCTTCTTTGTTCTGCGTCATTTTTTCTGGATTTCCGGACTGTAATCTTACTGTGTTTCGGCTTAAAATTGAGTCATTTCATTTTCCGCCATCCGTTCCACGAAAAATCTAAAACTATGCATAATCCCAAAAATCTTCCCTCTCCCGCCCCGAAAAAATTTTTTATTCCAAAAAAATATATATAATGTCATTCTAAAAAGCCCTCCAGACATTGTTCCAATATTATTGGTCAAATTTTTGACTTGTTTTTTGTCCTTAAAAGGGTCTTAGCGACCTAAGAAATTTTATTTTTCCCATTTTTTCTAATCTTTCTGACATACATTAATTCATTCCCCCCCCCCCCCCCCCCCCCTACTTCCGGAAATCCCGTCATTTTTGATCTTAAAGTCTTCGCTTCTTTTCTTGAATTTTCTAAATTTTCTCACGTTCCTTTTCAGAAATCTTGAGATTTCAACATTAGAGAATCCGCTATATAAAGCCCCCTTATGTCTGCCTTTATTTGAAGCTAACTTTATTTTAAACGCATATCTCAAAAACTAAAAAAGCCAAATTTTGTGAAATAGTAAATTGCTTAGCATAAAATTTTACACATTTTTGTGCTTAACAAGTTTCTGCTAGCTACTGTAGTCTTTGAGTTATGCGCCTTTAAAGTTGGAGCGCGCTTCCCATCCTCCTCGCGCGCCCTCTCATGTAGAGTGCGCCCACTTCAAAGGCGCATAGCTCAAAAACTACGGTAGCTAACAAAAAGTAGCAATATGGAAATTGCTCAGCATAAAATTTTACACACTTTAGTTGTTAAAAGTTTTTGCTAACTGCCGTAGGTTTAGTGCTATGCGCCGCTAAAGTTGGCGCGCCCACCTTGTTGTCCTGCACTCACAGGGAGGGCGCGCCAGTTTTAAAGGCGCATAACTCAAAAACTAAAACAGCTAGATAAATTTTTCAGCTAGAAAATTGCTCAGCATAAAATTTTTCACATTTTTGTAGTTCACAAATTTTTTCTGGCTACCATAGTTTTTGGGCTATGCGCCTTTAAAGTTTGGCGCGCCCACCTTGTCATCTTGCACCCACAGGGAAGGCGCGCCAGTTTTGAAGGCGCATAACTCGAAAACTACTGTAGCTAGCAAAAATCTGCAAACTACAAAAATATGTAAAATTTTATGCTGAGCAATGTGCAATTTACCAATTTTTGACAGCTTCCTAGGTTTCGGAGTTATGGGTCTTTAAAATTACTCGTCTTCAAATTTTCAGAAACTTTTCCACTTTTTTTTCGCAATTCTAACTTTTTTCAGACCTGGGCCTCATTTGCAATTCAAAAAAAATGCAAAAAACAATTTTGGTATCGCTCAGCTTAATTTTTGTGGCCAATGCCAACATCATTTGGCGATACCAGAGAGCCGACGGCGAGCCGCAAAGGGATATTGACTTTTCTGAGGTAGGACCATTTTTGCGGACATCCGGACAAACAGAAAAAATGCAATAATTTTCCAGCATACATGGACACCTCTAGGCCCCGCCCAAATGCAAGACTACTACGGTATCCTTTCCCATACGTCAAGATCGCTGCCGGAAATTGAAAAGGAGCAACAATCGTTTCGATTTATGGAGGCGCCTGTGAGTTTTAGGTTTTATCTTGAAAAATACTGTAGCTAGCAAGAATTTTTCAACTACAAAAATGTAGAACATAACATTTTAACCATTTTTGTAGTTGGAAAGTTTTTGATAGCATTTATGGTTCGGGAGATATAAGCGTTCAAAGTTGGAGGGTGCCTTGCCGCCAAAGAGGAGCAGGAGGAGGGGGGAGGCGCAGAGAAGCGAGAGCGAGAGCGTTTCTCTGCGTCTCCTCTGCTTGAAACGCTTATATCTCACGAACCAGACTAGCTATCAAAAAATTTTCAACTACAAAAATGTTCCTTATCAAATTTCCAACATTTTCCATTATTCAAATTTTTTAAAACTCTCATCATTCTCGAGATATGACCTATTTCCCATTTTCAGGTATCCCTGAGCAATCCGGTGTTCAATGTGTTCTCCAAAATGAGTGATTTGTATCGATGGATAGCAAATAAGAAGCGATCGCCGATCAATGATATCGATTATTGATTTTTTTTTTGGATTGGAAGCTTGAAAAAATAATACGAGTAACAAAATTGTTTAATGTTCTGAATCTCTTGCTCTCTCTTTGTCATAGCTGCTACTCCAAATAAATACACAATGTTGAATATTGATTTATTGATTTATTGATTTTTGAAGGATTGCTCAGCGTTAATACAAGCCACCAGAGATATTGGGTAAACTATCAATCTCATCGGGTATCAAATGAAGATATGCGACCCAGTAGAAAACATTAAAAACTATATATAGTGTTGGGAACGCCCATTTTGAGAAATTATCGATTTTGTTGACGACCTGAAAAAAAATTTTGGCTGAAAATTTTTTTGTCTGAAAACCTGAAAATTACCTCCGCAGGATCCCCATTCCTCAGTGTTTTCTTAGCGATTGCAGCTTTTACGGCCATACGGTAGAAAACTGCAAATTTTTGGAGTTTTTGGATTTTTTCAATTTTTTTGAAAAATAAAAAAATTTTCTTGGAATTTTTCAGAATTCATCGGAAATTTGAATATTTCGAGTTTCTAGAAGTTTCTAGCATCTGAAAACGATCTAAAAAAATTGCAAAAAAATTGTGACCCCAAGAGGGATCGAACCCGGGTGTTGAGATTGGTAGATTTTTAGTGGAAAATCCCACTGCGCCAAATGAGCAAATTTTTGAAAAATGGCCAAAAACACTGGGAAAATTGATTTTTAGGTGGTTTTTTAAGATTTTCAAATGTTTTCAGTAGTTCGAAAGTACTTTTTGGGAAAATTTTCGGAAAAAAAATTTTCGAAAAAAAAAGTTTTTTTTTGGATTTTTCGGATTTCAGAATCCAGAAATCTGAAAATTTCGAGTTTCTAGAAGTTTCTAGCCTCTGAAAACGACCAAAAAAAATTGCAAAAAGATATTGACCCCGGAAAGGTTCGAACCCGAGTTTTCAGATCAGTAGGTTTTTGGTGGAAAATCCCACTGCGCCAAATGAGCAAATTTTTGAAAAATGGCCAAAAACAATGGGAAAATTGATTTTTAGGTGGCTTTTTAAGATTTTCAAATGTTTTCAGTAGTTTGAAAGTACTTTTTGAAAAACATTTTCCGAAAAAATTTTTTTTGGATTTTTCGGATTTCAGAATCCAGAAATCTGAAAATTTCGAGTTTCTAGAAGTTTCTAGCCTCTGAAAACGACCTAAAAAAATTGCAAAAAGATATTGACCCCGGGAGGGTTCGAACCCGGGTTTTCAGAATAGTAGGTTTTTGGTGGAAAATCCCACTGCGCCAAATGAGCAAATTTTTGAAAAATGGCCAAAAACACTGGGAAAGTTGATTTTTAGGTGGTTTTTTATGCTTTGAAGTAGTTTTCAGCCGGTTCACTAGTTGTAGACAGCTTTTCAAGATAGTTTCTCAAAAAAAAAATTTCGAAAAAAATTTTTTTTTTGAAAAATTTTAAATTCCCTCCAAACCTGATGTATTTCCTTGCTCATCCTTATTGCACAATTTCTTCCACCACGGGACCGCCTTGAGCCGTGCTTCCTCTTTTTCCACAGCCAAATCGTCCACTTGCATGGTGTCCCTTCTGGCGGCGCCCATCAACCCAGCACTGAACATTTGTCCCATCTGAAATTCAATATTTAGGCCATTAGGAAAATAGTTGGGTCACACTGGAAAAGGTGGACACGCTCGAAAACCCGAAAAAAATTGGAGAAAATTGAGCTATTTTGAGAGATTTCAAGAGAATTTGGGGATTTTCGGATTTTAGCAATTTCTAGGCCAAGCCTAGCGAATCCTAGGCCATCTAGGCATTCTCTTACCGCACTATTCTGTCCGAGACCCTTCAAATCGTTTACTTGCTTTCGAATATACACAATTTGGGCGTAATTGATCACGGCATACTCCACCATCGCGGCAAACAGGAAGACAAAGCAGGACCTGAATTTTTAAAGGGTTTAGGACTAAAAATAAGAGCAAAAAAGTTTAAAAATTTTTCTGAAACCGCAAAATTTGGACTGCAAATGTGGAAAAAGCCAGAAAAACGGTGAAGAAACGAATTTCGGGGCGATTTTTGAAAAATCGGCAATTTGGCGCAGTGGAATTTTCCACCAAACATTTTTCAATCTCAACACCCGGGTTCAAATCATTTGGGGGTCAAATTCTTTTTCCTTATTTTTTCAGACATTTTCAGGTGCTAAAAAGTCTTAGGAACCTGGAAAATCCAAATTGTCGAAAATTTTGAAAAATTCCAAAAATTTTTTTTTTTTTGGTTTTTGGGGGTCAAATCTTTTTCGCAACTCAAACCATTTGGGGGTCAAATCTTTTTTGCAACTCTTTTTAGAGCAATTTCAACTGCTAGAAGAGCCTAAAACTGCTCAGAGTTCGAAGAATCTGAAAATTTGGATTCTTATTAATCTGGAAAATTCAAACTTTCAAATTTCTGGAATTTCTGAAGGGTTACAGGGAGTCTTGGCATCTGAAAACGCCTTAAAAAAGTAGCAAATAAAATTTGACCCCAGGAGGATTCGAAACAAGATTTTTATCGATTTTGGCATTCTAAGATACCCAAACTCACAATATGTACACATCCAGAGCAGTAGAGTGTGAAACTTTGGGAAGATCCGTCCTCAAACCGAATCCAATGGTACTCATCGATAAAACGGTCATAATACCCAATGAGACCCTTGCTGGCGACGCTTCTTTGTTGATCCAGAATGAGACCCATGACATGACAACGACCAAAGTGCAAGGGGTGTAAATTTGGAGGATATAGTAGCCTTGTTGACGTTGTAGTTTGAAATAGACGTTTAGAACGGATATGTCTGGAAAAATCCGGTTTTTCGAGGGAAAATTGGAGTCATTCAGGGTTTTAACTTCAAAAAATCATATGAGTTGATACCGGGAAACCTTAAAACCATGAAAATTTAGCTTAAAATCGAGTTTCCCAGCCATTTTCCACAAAATGCCTATTTGGCGCAGTGGGATTTTCCACAAAAAATCTACACATCTCAACACCCGGGTTCGAACCCTCCTGGGGGTAAACTCTTTTTGCTACTTTTTTAGAGCGTTTTGAGTAACTAGGAGGTCATGTAACTTCTCAAAATCTCAAAAATCCAATTTTTTTTCGAAATTTCAGATTCTATGGATTCTGAGCATTTTCATGGGCTCCGAGCATCTGAAAACGTTCTAAAAAAGTTGCAAAAAGAAATTGACCTTGGAAGGGTTTGAACCCGAGTGTTGAGATTCGTAGGTTTTTGGTGGAAAATCCCACTGCGCCAAATTTGCAATTTTTGGAAAAACGGTCCGAAATTGCAGGAAAATCGATTTTTTATAGGTTTTTAGTGTTTTCTACATTTTGAGCGTATTTCAAACACTTTAAGACATTTTTCTAAAAAATATCACTTTTTTTAATTTTTGAAAAAAATTCCGAAAAATTTTTTACCAAAATTTCGATTCTTTCGATTTTCAGCATTTTCAAGGTTTCCTAGCATCTGAAAACACTCCAAAATAATTGCAAAAAAAATTTTACCCCCAGAGGGTTTGAACTCGGGTGTTGAGATCAGTAGATTTTCAATGGAAAATCCCACTGCGCCAAATGTGCAAAATTTTGAAAAATGCCCAAAATCAAGATTTCTGAGTGGTTTTTTCTGAATTTTCAGATTCTCCAGCTCTTCCTAGCCTTCTTTTTCAACTTTAACCAAATTCACTTCTGTCAGTATATCGAAAATCAGAGACATTTCTCTCGGATTTCGAGAGAGAAAGTATTTGATACTGGCTGAGCATATTTCCCATCTTTGAATCCAGCTCAACTTCCTTCCATCGATAGATGACGTCTTTTGAAAAGTAGCCCAAGGATCCGACTTCTATGGGACACGCTTGGGTATCCATTGGAAACTTTTTGAGGAACATTTGACATCGGGAACGGATGGTTAATCTGGAATTATGGATTTTTTGGCTTGCAATTTTGGAAATTGGGGTTTCTAGAGCTTTCCGGGGGTTCTGAAGGCATGAAAATAGTCTAAAAAAATGGCAAAAAGAATTTGACCCGAGAAGGGTTCGAACCCGGGTATTGAGATTGGTAGATTTTTGATGGAAAATCCCACTGCGCCAAATGTGCAATTTTTGGAAAATGGCCTAGAAATGGTCAGAAAATGTGGGGGGAATCGATTTTCTGCTAGTTTTTGATAATTTTTCTAGTAGATTTAAAGATATTTACTGTTTTTGACACAAAATGAAAAAAAAAGTTAGAAAATGTATTTTTGAAAATTTTGAAAATTCCAATTTTCTATGTTCTCGAGGCATTCTAGCATCTAAAAACGGTCTAAAAAACGTGCAAAATGATATTGGCCCCAGGTTGGCTCGAACCCCGGTGTTGAGAATGATAAATTTTTGGTGAAAAATCCCACTGCGCCAAATATGCGATTTTTCGGAAAACGCTTGAAATGCCATAAAAATGATCAGAAAAGCAAGGAAAATTGATTTCCGGGTAGCTTTAGGCGCATTTTTTGTTTTTCTGACTCATTTCCTTCGTCCCCTAGGAAAACTCCGTGAATTACCTCTGCGAAACATGCACCTGACCATCAGACCTAACTCTAAACAAGATATTCGGCACTGTGAGAGTGTGTAGATAGGATTTTCGTCCATTTCTAATATACGTATCCGGGACCCAAATGTCTTTGAGCATTTTCGATGCCAATGGAATTTCCGGTTTCGATGGGTTGATTGGAGTGAATGCCAATCGTCGATCCAACCATTTTTGACGGAAATAGCAGTCCAGAGAGAATTCCTAAAGGTTTTTTTAGGATTCCTGGACCACTAAAAGAGGTAAATTACCATATTCTGCTCGGAAATTGGCCCCATGGACCTTACAGAGATGTCCACCTCGACTTGAAGGGGAGAATTGTCTGCGAGTTTCAGAAAAGCTGGATTTACAGGCTTAAAAAAATTGATTACCTGGATTCATAGGTCTAAAATTTTTGTCTTGATTCAACAAAATTGTATCCAGGACCTTTGTAGTGTATCGAATCAAAGTCTGGTTATAGGTGGTGCTTCTGCTATTGAGTCTGAAATTTGGATTTTCGGCTTTTTAAGCCGTTTCAGGCCTAAAAAGGGACCTTACCTCTGTTTCTTTGTCAAATCTATGAGCTCCTGAGAATGGTGGCCATGGATTAGGGCGATAATTGGGAGGATGAATACAGTAACCATTCTGGAAATCTAAGAATCTAAGAATCTAAGAATCTAAGAATCTAAGAATCTAAGAATCTAAGAATCTAAGAATCTAAGAATCTAAGAATCTAAGAATCTAAGAATCTAAGAATCTAAGAATCTAAGAATCGGGGATCCTCTAG